ACCCAATCATTTTGGAATACATACATCATCTGCATCTGTTTGCTTCCATCCAAAGTAAACGTAGATATAAACCCAGAATGCCCACATAGCTGGAGATCTCAGAAGGGGTGTGCTTATGCTGTTGAGGGTAGCACATCTGGACTACTCAGCTGTGCAAAGCAATAGACAGAGACCCTTTGCCCAAAAAGTGTTCCAGAAACACCCCAGAAAAAGCAGTGCTTACACAAGACTCACATTAAAAGAAGCTAAAGAGCAGGCAGTCACAAAGTGGTAGGACCCAAACAGAGCAACCCGGGGAGTGACTTGCTGGAAGAGCTGCAGTGCTATAACTGTGCTATAGCTGTTACAGGGCAAAGCGGTACAGAGGGCTGTAGCCAAGAACAGAGGACCTCTCTCGATCCCAGGAACATGGATACATAACCTACATTCATTCAAAATCTAAATCGTCTCATGTTTGCTTCCTTTTATTTATGCAGGGTTATTACAATTCTTAAATAAAAGGACAATACAGTAGCCCAGAGCTAAAGATGACACAGGTATATATTAGCCAACAATGTTTCTTGTCAATGCATCTACCCAACACAGCAGGATACCTAGCAGGACGAGTGAGCACTTTCTGAGTCAAATACTAGATATGGTGGGAAAAAAATCAGACAAACATTTTGAGAAAACTTGTTCCCTTTTTTCTGATCATTTTCTGATCAAAACAGTCAAGGACATTTTGAAAGATTCTGACTAGCTCTAGAAGATATGGATTTGGGACCCGATTCTGCTCCAATGAGAGGTTTGTTATTGAATTCACTGGGGTAGGACCAGAAGCTTTAGTAGCTTGTTGCTGTCTACATGCTTGCCCAATAAGACATTTTTTAAAAGACCACTACCCCATCAGATTGAATAAATAGGCATAATTTTCAATTCATTTTACAGATATCATAGATCCTTCACAGCTTACACATCTGTCATGTAAATCTGCATCAGTGTGTAATACGGCAGTTTTAGTGTCAATATGGGGAAAACATGAATGAAATTTCTGGAGGGGTGAGCTCTCAAATATGAATGACTTGGCTGTTTATTTTAAAAGTGAGACACTGGCTGTGGACGTGCACAAAGGTGTCTGAAATCAACAGCCTTTTCTTTTATAGGCCTCTAACACAAAACTACTAGATTAAAGCTTTGTTTTCAGAGTTTATTAAAAATAAATGAATGAAAAAAAATGAAGCACTCAATGCACAGACCCAGCTAAAGTAGAATATCAATCTTCTTGCTCATCCAAGGCACTTACTAACTTTTCAAGGGAGTTTTAGTAGACAAGAAAAAGAAGATCAAGCCCCCAAAATGCAACTCTCCATTAAAACAAAGGTTAATAATGGCAGTGCTGAGATAATTTTATCCTTAACTGTCATGGGAGTGTTGATTACATTTGTTGTCCATTCCTTATTTTTCAGAGGGCTGTTCTACCTCATTGCCTTTCAACCTTTGAAAGGCCAACTTGTTTTTTTTTTAACCTGCTGTTTCTATCAGATGAAAAATGTATCATACTCTAATCATGATTAAGGTGAAAAACTGCAGATTTTCAAAGTATGTTTGAAAGCATCTGTTTATCTTCTCAGTTACATGCTGCTTCACTGTTTTCTTTTTCAAACCAGACAACCTGCACAGATCATCAAGGCACAGCATTAATGTGCTACCCCTCCCGGTAGAGGGCTTTATACTTCTGTCACATAGACAACTGAGTTCCCTTGAAGGACATGCACCATCACAGAGTCTATGAAATTTAACTGATGGAAACAGGACTACCATGTTTTAGGACCAGATATACTCAGAGGGCCAAATTCTCTTCTTACCAGTTATTCTGATGACAGTAACATCAACGATTTCACCAAAGTCACTCTGAAATTACACTGGGAAACTAAGTGCAGAATTTGGCCCACTGAATTCAAATCAATGATTTATCATGAGTCAAGGTTGTAGAGTCAAGCCCTTTATTTTCATAAATTAGAGCTGACTGTAGAATGAATGAATGGCAGAGCAAAACCAAGCCATGAGTGGGTTGAGCATGGTCAATCCTAACAAATTACAATAAGAAATATCTGGCACTGCCTCCTGTCAGGTGTGATTAATATCACAGCATAGGGGTGACTGGAAAGCAGGAATAGGCAGGAACTTGTCATACCTATATTGGCTTCTATTAGACCTGATCTTTTAAGATACTGAGAATTCTTAACTGTTGTGGGACCCAACTGAGTGTATTCAGGACCAGACAGGATTGGGCCTATTATAAGTGAATTAAAGCATAAAGGTGATTTAATTTTTTTTTCTATTTTCCATAAGTATGGGATATGCATAAATGTAAACACACACTCAATGTTTGTGTGTCCATGTATGCATATATGTACAAATGACTAGCTAAAAGTACATCTAGGATTTCAAAGCATTCAAAAGCAAACAAAGAATGGAATGCAGTAAACAAGCAGATTATCCTCCATGCTTTCATGTTAAGTGTACCAAAGCTTTATTTTCTATAACTGTACCTCACATTCACCAAAGTATTTAAGCAGGTGCTTAATTTTAAGCACATGAAGATCAGGCCTTTTCAGCAAAGGACCTAAACACATACTCACATTGCTTTGCTGAACCAGGCCTATAAATGTGTTTAATTTACAAACTTGAAATGGTGATGACCAAACTAAAGAGTTTAACCTGTCTGAGTAACCCAGTAAGGTCTGCGTGAAGGCAAATATAGCTGTATCTCCAATTGTAGCTATGTACATCATTACTGCAGCATGGGTTTACACTGCTTCTGCATTATGATTAGCTGCCTCACTCAAAAATACATTTCCTTTTCTCCTCATCACCTAAAGACCCAGAAACCCTCTCTCATTCATGACCACGGTAAAAGCAATCTCTGTCCTCATGAGACATTCCCCAGAGCAGTGAAAACAAAGGTTCTGTGAATTTCTCTCAAGAGCATGACCAAGGACTCAAATTCGTTCATGCTGAAGTCATTAGGAGTTTTGCCACTGATTTCAACGAGAATGAGAGCAGAGTAAGTGTGGATTTGGGTGACCATCTAAGTCAAATATTGAACACTGCAAGAAGCCCAATGGCAAAATTAAACAAAACAACCAGAATCTGTCTCGAAATATAAGGGGTATACTTCAATGCCACTTCAATACATACATGGCAAAACTTTTCTTTTCTTTGACTGCTGCTACCAAGTGTATGCTGTTACTCAAACTTTCAGATTCAAGGGTCCAATTCTGCAAACTCTCAGTCCTATCAGTAGATTCAATGAAGTAACAGGCAAGGATTATTTGCATAAGAAGGTTTTTTTCAGGCTCAGGCCTCATCAGGTATCACAGTATATACGAATGTGAGACAAGACAAAATAAAATATCACACAGTACACCAGCATCTAGGTAGGAATGACTCTATTCTTGCGATTAAAATGCCAAGAGGGATACACTGCTGTTTTAACAGATAGAAGAAACAGGTCTGTATTACAACCAAAATGCCTTAAGCAAAATCTGTGTATTTATTTTTGGCATCTTTATATTTTTGCTAGTTATACAATTGAAGTTTCTATTAAATAACTCTGATATGAGGCATATTTTTAAAATAGTGTCAGCAGTGATTTTTTTTAATGTGGAAACAGATGTGCTACTCCACTGCAATTGCTGCATACTCTCAGTATTTTCTTTGTACTATGAAACATCCGTCTGTTTTTCTGTGTTATAAATCTTTCCCCACTGGATTGATTTCTTCCTGGCAATTAAATACCAGACTGAATTCTCGAAACAGAAGATGTCCAGAAAATCATGTTGTTTTTGCCTAATTTAAAAATATTGGCATTTCAATGAATGTTGCTTTTCCACAGACCATTTCAATACACTACCTATCCTTGGAATGAAATCACAGCCATCTGCTTTATGACATCAGAGTCATTTCAAGGTGTCTCCATAAATGTCATTTACTGCTTGGGAAACTGCCAAATCAGTGAGAAAAAACCCTAGTTCTTTGAAAGGGAAAAATACTTTGACAATAATGATTCACCCAGATTCTGTCTACCAAAAAGTCTTTTTCTTTGTAGAAATACAGGTCATGTTTACAATAAAACCCATTGACCTGAATTCTGATTTGCATATGGGATCATTTGGACTAAATTTCACATCTATACATACCAAATATACCTCATGGGGCGCACTGATGAATATGCTTTTAACCCTTAAATAACTGGCATTTTTCAGGCCATAAGAGTAGGGCATGAACCTTTCACATTTGTCTTTGCATTCCTTCCATGGTGCCAAACAGGTTGCAGGAACTAGGCCTTAACACAAGAAGGAAGCGGGTGTGTGTATGTATATTGTATGCATGCAGGCTCCACTGTCTTAAAGTCCTGACCAGGATTCAGTAATCCTAATCAGACATGCCATTAGCATGGACAGGAAACAATTATGCATGTTTGATGTCATAGGCAGTTGCACAGAAATGTGTTTTAGTGTACTGGTCATTCTGTTGAAAAGGACTTGTGTCACTGGTGTTGAATAAGTGAGTACACCTCAGCTGAGAGCTCTATCAAACAAGAGAGCTGCAGCCATATTTAAAGCTTTTGCTGGCTGACAAGTATAACCTTTAGCTTTACTGAATATAATTTCCTCCCACAAAACATTTTTTGTTTTAAAAGAGATCAGCCGTTCCATAAACCTGTGAATAATCTAGGACAGTCACATCAACAGGTACGTTAAACACATCAGTCTGGTGCGGAAGATGTGGAGAAAGGAAATGGATAGGCTCTCTAAATAATAGATACATTTTTCAGTTGTTTTTTCTTCCTTATACAACCCTAGCAAAGTTAATGTATAATTTGGAAACTGAATTATTTATAAGTTGCGAATACATAATAAAATGCACTTCAACCTGAAATATTCTCCACAGGTAAACGTGTATCTCCATGCAATGAAAAGAAATAGGTGCACAGCCTGAAAACACTGAGGTCTTACCTGGAATCTGGATACTTTGTCAAGGTAGCCAGGCTGCTGGTGTACATATGTCCTCCTACATCGATGTGCACAGGAGCATTGGATTTGGTGAGTTGAGCTGGGAGAGGAATTCCTTGAGCAGCCAGGGGAGAAACTGGGGATCGTGTTAGAGACAGACGGGACATGCTTCTTCCCTCCTGGAAATGGAAGACAAAAAAGAACAGTTTCTCTTAAATGTAGCAGCGTGTTACCTTTCTTTCTAGTGTGATCACAGATCTAATCAGATCATTTTTGCATCTGCCTGATCACATATTCAGCTAACAAATTATTGCCACCACTGTAATTAAGTGTATTTGCATCATTTTCTTCAAAGTACCAGAGGGGAAGAGAAAGATGCTTATTAGCAATAAGAAATCAAGAAATTTTTTTTTCAAGGTGTCAGCCTCAAGGGGCATAAAACAAACTGCAAAATTCTAATTAAAGGTCGCGGGCTTATGTGTTAGATGTGAAATATCCCCTGACAAACGAATAACCAATTTGTGAATTGGGATTCAGGGGTTTTTGCAAGTTTGTCTCAGTAACGAGACACCTCTAAATTAGTGACTTCCTCAGTACCTAAGGCATTTAGTTTATACATGTAGTAAATTTCACATCAAACTAAGAACAATTTTAGGTTTTATTTTTAATAATTGTGAAATAACTAGATAACTTTTGGTTAAATCTTAATATTAGATATAAAAAAGAAGTAATAAGCTCTCAAACTGAAGGTAATTAATGCCCGGAAGCTCTTAAAGCAGAAAGATACATAAAATGACCAGTGTTTCATGACAGAAAGCTTTCATGGCTACTATATAATGTCATGTGAAATTAGAAATATACATACACACACAAACACACACACGCGCGCGCACACACACATGTATATATAATAATCATGTGTATGTTTATTACAAGAAAAAACATTTGAAATTAACCAAATTGCAGCCAAAGATTTGTAGCTGATTTACAAATCCATGTATTGAATTTCTGTTTCTCCTAAATTAAAATAACATTATTTTTGTAAAAAAGACCTGAGATGGGGAACAGACTTATGAAAGCAAAAAAACAATCCAACCATCTCTTTAAGAAAAGGATAATGACCAATTCTTTATTAGGTACTAATATGTGTCTCAAACAGCTGATTTAAGTTAAACAAATCATTATACATAACGTATGTCACATGGAAAAATTGTTCAAGCTTTTGCAAGTTTTAGAATATGCCCATTCTTTCTGTCCCTTATGTGGAGAGCAACATATGTAAAACATTATAGTTAGAGACATTTTTAAATATAATCTAATTTTCCTGGTATTTTGTTTTGCAATCAGGCTACCAAACATCTAGGCTCTTCCCAATATCTGATAGGCACTTCATATACAGTATTACAAAGTGAATTTCCATTTTTCAAAGATTGACTTGACCACGTTTCTTAAAATTCCAAAACTGGTCTCTCTTTTTAACAATCAATATTCTGCATACTATACTTGTTCAAATCATCCAATGAACTCAGTATTCACAAGATTCTTTAAAAAAAATATATTACTCCTGACCTACATGGAGAGGGATTCAAAATATAATTAATCTGGACATCTTCATACAGGCACCACAACATCTTAGCTTCTACATTTCATCTAGATTAGCTCATAAGTATTTTCTACAGCTAAAGTTCAGAAATACATCACCCCATTATGAATCCACATCCTTTTTTCTTCAAATGCAGAATGGACATCTGCACTGAACACCGAACAAAACATCAACACTGTCCTGGAACTTCTGTGTCAGTCGACGTGAAATTGGCATTAACATTTCTACTATAGCACCACCTTCAAGGAAAGTGATCGAATCCTTTTAACAACTGAAGATGTTTCTTCCTACAAAGTCCTGTTGTAGGCATTCTTAGGAAATGTTCATATATCCCAAATAAAAGAACTTTAAAAAACAATTTAACATCTAAACCACCACAGTCTTTTAGCATTTAGCTTTACATATGTGGATGCTATATCTGTCTACCAGCACAAAGATTTTTTTTCCTACCAAAGAGCATTGTAAACTCATGAGCATTCTGCACTTGAATGTAAGGGTCAGTAGCTACATTCTAAATGTCAACTCTGCCTTTGTTCTGACCCTAACTGTTATCACTAATGATAAAGGTACACACCTTGCAGGATACAGAGCTGCCTGTATGTGGAAATACATCTCATGGAGATGTACATAAAAATATGCCTAATTAGGGCTTACCCACACCCCTTGATACAATTTCTAAATGAAATCAAAGGACTTGCAGTACTCTTTAAACAAGTCTTATATTTAACTGTTTGTCTGGAAATACAGACTTACATTTTAAAATATGCACAGATAGCTGAAGATCAAGTGATCTGAGTCCATTTGTGCATATTTAAACACTGCTGCTATCTTATGATTTTGTTTAATGTTAGTATACCAGCAAATTCCTTGATCTGCAAACTGTCTGAGACTCTTACTGAGGCCATACCCATACAGTAGAGATATTTAATTTATACTATTCACTGGAGGGACCTTTTGAACAATCCTCTGCTTTTGGCATCTCCCAGCTAGTGTGTGTGTTGAAAAAATGCTTAATTATAGAAAATCACCAGCAAACTAAAATAGTTTTCAAACTTATATAGATTTTCATACTTACTGAGGGTGTACAGGGGGAAGGGCAGATGAACTAAAATGCAGGTTTATTGTTTAGTTACTGAAGATTAATATTTAAAAAATGACCCAAAATGTTGGTGAAAGCTCGGAAAGCCAGTCATATTTATGTTAGTTAATCAAAAGGGCATAATGCTGAAACACTACTAAGTCAGGTAAGGACTTCCATTCATCTTAAATATAAATATTCCAAATTCTTTAAGCTACCTTAACCCTAAGTTTACTGACTGCCTTCTTCAGCTTCTTCTCTCACGTAAACTGACCTAAAATTCACTGCATCAAGTAACATATTTCTTTTATGCACAAAGCTAAAGCCGAAAAGTATTTATCCTGTAGAAAGCCTTTGTGCATGTGTTTTCTAATACTGATGTGAAATTAAAACCTTTAGGGTAAATATTGCAGAAACACTAACAAACTTCATTTATTAAACCATGTAAAATAATCCCTACTCTTCAGTTGTCTACAAAAGGGTATAACATCACTACCAGTGGCACAAGCAATAACCCTGTTCTCATAAGTAACACAGGAGCCTGCTAAAGGCAAAATCAATAGAGCCTGATTCCCAAATTATCTGAATATTTGGTTTTTCAAACATTGCACACCGAGATCTTTCCCAGCCAGCTCATCTTTTCCTGCCTTTCTAAGCTAACTGCATAAGTACTGCTTGTAAAAACTATTTGCCCATGCAAAGTGAAATAATCACAATGCCATGCTCATTTACACACAAAATGATTTTGTGTCCCATTGTGTTCACAGTTGTTCAGCTCTCTAGGGGTGATTAAACTAGCTCTGCTGCTACAGCTTGAGATGATTTCACTGAATCGTTTCTCCATGAAGTTGCTTCTTTGCTAAGCTGTTATTTTAACCATAAAAGGTAAACAGAAGGCAGTTGTAAGAGCTCCATTCAGCTCCATGCCCAGGGCTATAACCCTAGGGCAGAGAATGCTGAAAGACTGCAGAATTTTCCAGGGTGTTGCCTTTCTTGCTCTAAAGCCTTCAGGAATACTGTTCATTTAATACACACTCTAGATGATACATTTCAGATCCTACTAAAAGAAAGACTTCAAAAGTGTAAGAACTTTTGGGCGGATGAAGCTTTCCCACCTCTGCACATAGCTTGGGGCCATGGTAACCAATACTGCTGTTGATGTTGGGAAAATACAGTAGAAATAAACTGCACAAAGCCAGGCAGACAGATAGGGACAGGGGAGGTGAAAGGTTGCAGAAAAGAAACAAGTCTGGAAAGGATAACAAGAAAAAAAGGGAAAGAATGAAAAAGCAAGCAGCTCTGAAGGAGGGACAAAGTTAAATCAAGGAACAGACACTTAAAAGACTACAGATGGGAAGCAGGGCTAATTAAGGATGTAAAAGCGCTTTGTTTCTAAAGTTTATTGTTGCCAGGATAAAAATTAATTGAAACTAATGCTGTTATTCACTCGTGCAGTTTAATTCCTTCATGCACATTTAAGACATGAAATGAAAACTGCAGGTTTAAGGACCTGCCATGAAACAGCTCTCTAAGATGTTGAAAGGGGGCATCTTTCCACCCATATGCAGTCAGCTAGCTGCGTGTATCAAAGGCACAAAGTCCAGTCTGCTGCAGGACCACTGGCTCGTCTTTAATGAGATCAGCACCAACATCTGTTCCCTGACTGGTTCCTTTATTGGATTCTCGTTGAAGCTTTTCCTCCCCCCCCACCCCCCCCACCCCCAGAGACCTTGATTTCTTTAACAGCAGATCTATTATAGCACTAAGAGTAAAAGCCCGGGTCTCAGCCCCCGACCCCCCCAGCTCAAGCCCTTTTGGAGAATAACCAGCTAAAGAACTTAACCTTGCCTTCTCGTGGCTTCATGGCACTGCCTCTTATTTCCAGGGCGCTTGGGTTCAGCCCAGCCAGAGGGTCAGCATGTCAGAGACGTGGCAATTACCTTTGTCTCTGTACACACGTACAAATAACACCCAGCCTCTCTCTCTCAAGCGACTTGGAGGCGAGTGTGGAGTTGGGGAGCCCAGCCTGAGACAAAGAAGCGATCAGGTTATTGGAAACCCTCGGCCAATGGGTTACAAAGATCAAGCGCACGCTCACACCTTGGCGCTGCCGCACACACCGCGGGCCCCTTGCTAGGAGGGGGCTTCACTCGGAAACTTTTGGTGAGCTTGTGCAGCTCTGGCTTCGAAAAAAAGAAAAAACAAAAAGGAAAAGAAAAGGGAAACAGACATCTCCTTCCCTCCCCCATCCTGGCACTCCCCAGCCGACCCAGGGCGAGCTGCACGTCGCCCGCAAGCCCGTCCCCGCGGGGGGGCAGCGCGGGGCGCGGCCCTCCGCGCT